ACGTCTTCGCGGCGCTGGTGAGTCGCGTCAACAAGGAGTTCTCTGCGATTGGCCTGCTGCTTGCCCGGCGACTGGCGGCGCAGTGGTGGCGCCTGCGCCGCCGCGGCGACTGGTCGGCGATGCGCTGCGTCAGCCGCTTCCTCGCATGGCTGTACATCTTCAACGTGGTGGGTGTTGACGTCATCTACCAGGTCATCCTCGCCCACCTCGCCGCGGAGCCGCGCAGCGACGACGACATTGACCAGGCAGCGGCGCTCTTCCGCGAGACGTTCCGCGCCATGTCGGAGCGCAATGTGGCGGAGTTCCACACGCACGTGCTGACGCCTATACGCGACCTCCTCGCGATGGACAGTGACGAGTGGCGCCTCTCCGCCCGCGCGCAGACGCTGTTGGAGGACTGTCTGCGTGAGGTGCAGCAGTGGGAGCGGGTGAAGCACACCACGAGCATCATACCCCCGCACCTGCTGCTGGTGGACCCTGCGGAGCAAAAATGCCACGAGGTGGACCTTGAAGAAGCGGCGAGCATGGACACGGAGGAGAAACTCGACCGGTTCGCGTTGGATGCGGAGTACGATGCGCACGAGGCGGAGTACGAGATTGCGCGCTGTGCTATTCTGGGCGATGACTGGGAGACGGAGCTGATGGAGCAGATCGCAGCTGCGGAGGAGGCCGATGAGGAAGCGGAAGAGCAGGAAAGAGCTAAACAGGAGCAGCAGCAGCAGCAGCAACAACAACAAGAGCAGATCGGGGATACACCGAAGCAGCTCATCGACGAGCAGGAGCGCCAGGTGCGGAAGGACGTGTATATGGCAATGCGCAGCAGCGTGCGGGCGGACGAGGTGGCGCATAAAATACTCAAGTCCATGCAACCGCAGACGGAGCGCACGGTTTGCTTCATGGTTATTGAGGGCTGTTGCGAGGAGGCGTCATACAAGAACACGTACGGCATGGTGGCGGAGCGCCTCTGCAAGAGCAATGCGAGGTTCCAGAGCTTCTTTGCCGAAGCCTTTCGCCTGCGCTACGAGCGTGCGGAGGACCTTGAGGAGAAGCAGATTGAGTTCACGTGTAAGATCTACACCCATCTTCTTCGGACTGAATCGCTGCCGTGGCACAAGTGCCTCTCGGTGCTGGATGTTGTGGATAGCGATGTGTCGCAACGGCTCATGATCCAGTGGCTGCTGCAGGGGCTGGTAGAGGCTCGGGGCATGCGGGTGGTGCGGGAGCGGTTCGAGGGGGACAGGGAGCTGCGGTCCAACACGACGAAGCTGTTCCCTCTTGCTGCTTCAGAGGATGCGCTGGAGCGGGCGGTGAATATGTTCGAGGCGATGGGAGTCGGCGAGCTGGGCGCCGGCGTGCGTGCGCGGCTGGAGGAGGTGCGGCGCGCAAGGAGAGCCGCTGCCATCAGCAGTGGCGGCGGCAACAGTGGCTACTACTACGACTACAATCGCGACCACCACAGCCACAACAGCAGCGGCAACAACAACAAGCGGCGGCGGGACGACATGGAGTACATCTAAGCGAAAGGAATGAGAAATACAGGTGAATGGGCAACAAGAACAGAGAGGAGGGTGAAGGCCGCATGTCTCTGGTGGTTCGCGGTGCTTCATTCATCGAGAGGTGAGGTCAGCACGCAAGGGCGGAGATATACGTATAAAAGGAAAGTGGAAAGGGAAGCAGTGGTGCCTCTTCTGACTGTCCTGGACCACACCCTCCATTCTCCATCTCCCTCATCACCATCACCATCACCACCACCACCACCACGACGACGACGACGACAACAACAACAACCATTATCATTCATATCTGACCTCTCTTTCTTTCTTTCGTTCGTTCTCACTCCTTCTCCGTCCCCCTCTCTGTTACACATAAACACCCATTTTTCTTTGTTTCCTTTTTTTTTTCCTTTCCGTGCGTCGTATCATACTCGGCAGGGCAGCTCGCAGGCGTACATACGCACCACTACTACTACTACCACCACCACAAACATCAACAACAAGAACAACAAAAGTAATAATAACAGCCAGAAACCTTTAGAAGTAAGGAATGGAAGACCCGAACCGCAAGCCCGTCAAGGCCCGTGTCCTTGTGCGTGTGCGCCCCTTCACCGAGGCGGAGGGGGTGGTGTGTCCGGAGGACAGCCCTGTGCCGCGCGAGATCATTGAGTGGGACGGGCACCACACGCTCACGGTGCTTGACGCCGCCAACGGCTTCCAGCCGCGCAAGAACGCCCAGTTTGAGATTGACCACGTGATGTGGTCCTTCCGCGACGAGGAGCGGCCCAAGGTAGTGGTACACACGCAGAAGGACGTATACGAGGCGATGGTGGCGCCCATGATCCCACAGCTCGTGGAGGGCTGCAGCACCGCCTTCTGCATCGCCGGCGCGACAGGGAGTGGGCGTGTCTACTCGCTCTACGGCGAGGATGTGGACGGCACCAGCCGTGGCATTCTCCCACGCTTCGCTGAAGACATCTTCGCCGCGTTCAAGCAGCAGAAGCGCGAAAACAGCACACTCACCTGCGAGATTGAGGCAATCGACGTGACGAACAACGAGACGTACATGGATCTGCTCTCGCAGCGCCGCAAAGCCTCCGCAGCGGCGGCGGAGGACCTGAAGCTCGTGCACGACCCCACCGAGGGCATGAAGGTGCAGGGCGCCACACGCGTGCCGGTCAACAAGGCGTCGGACCTTCTCAGCGTGCTGCGGCAGGTCGCGCGGGTGGTGCCGAAGCGCAACTGCTGTCACACCGTACACCTCCGATTCGTGGAGACGTACGAGTTCGAGGACCCGGAGCAGGGGGATCAGGCGGTCAGCAAATCGCGCCGCATCAACGTGCTCTTCGTACTGCTGCGCAACATGCCACCAGCCTTCCAGCGCTGCGTGGATGTCGCAGTGGAGCACGACAGTGGGGAGAACCCGCTGGCGAAGGTGCCTACCCGTGAGACAGCCTTCACGAAGCTGCACCCAGAGTTGCTGCAGCAGGGCTACAATCTCGCGTTCCTCTGCTGCGTCAGCCCCTTCTACGAGCACACCCGAGATACGGTGCAGACGTTGCTCCTGGCGGCGAAGCTCATGCGGCTCAGGTGCAAGCCAAAGCTTAACCAGGATGCGGCCCTCGTGGAGCTGCGCAACCTCGCCGACGAAGTGAGGAACCTCAAGACGGAGGTGGTGAAGCAGACGGAGTCCACGCAGATTGTGCAGAAGGAGCTCAACGCGCGTGAGGTGGAGCTCATGAAGCAGGAGGCCGCCCACCACGAGTGCCGGCGAAAGCTGCAGCTGTCCGAGGATGAGATTGCCGCGGCGAAGCACGCCCTCCGCCTGAACCTCTACCGCACCAAATGGCAGAAAGCCAACTTCGACAAGAATTCTCACGATAAGAAGAAGAGCATGGCGGCGACAATGACGGCGAAGGAAGCGACTGAGAGGGCAGCGGATGCCGAGGCAAAGGAAGAGGAAGACGTCAAAGCTAAGATCAAGGATGTGGAGCAGCGGCTGCAGGCGCAGGAGAAGAAAAATGCGCAGTTCGAGACCCGCCTCAATGCGCGGTCGCAGAAGGAGGAGGAGGTGAAGAAAATGCGCAGATTCATCGCTGCGCCTCTGGAGGAGCGACGGCAAATCATTGAGGCCTCCATACGGGAAGAGGCGCAAGCGACAAATAAAGATCGGCGATTGGAGAGTGAACTGAAGGCGCAAAAGGAGGCGAAGGAAAAGGCACAGGCCCGCTGCAGTGAACTGGAGAACGACTACAATGCCATACACGCCGCAGAGAAGGGGACACGGGAGAAGGAGGAGATGCAGAAGAGCATTAAACAACTTGAGAAGGACATTTCGATGACTGAGGCGGAAACCAAGCGCCTACAAGGGGAGCTTGACAAGCGGCCGCCGGGTTGCCAGTGCATTCTCATGTAGGCTGTTGTCGCATTGCAATATAGTACAGCTGGCTCTGTGTGTGTGTGTGTGTGTGCGTGAATCTGTTTGTTGTGAGCGGCAGGAGCTTGTTTCACTCTAATGTGTCTTTCTCTGATGGAGAGCACAGCCGTATGCACGCCCAGAGTTGCTATCCGCTGGAGAATTTTCGCTTGTCCCACCTGGCCTACACCAACGGCGGAAAAGTGTTACAACACGACATGGGTGTATTTGTTTATTGTTTGTTCGTGTTGTTGTTGTTGTTGTTGTTGTTTTGACCTGTTGGTTTTTTTTTATGATTCTTTTCTTTTCAATGGGGAGTGGAGGTTGTATCCTTTTCTATTGTTGCTGTATATGGATATCTCCTTTCATGCCTGGTTGTGCCTGTGCCTCTGTGTGCGTGTGCAGTTGCGGTGAAGAGGAGTCGGCGACCGCAGCGGCCATTACCGGTGGTGGTGCTGCTGTTGGTGGTTGAGGTAAAGAAATGGAGGGAGAGAG